ATCGATTTTCGTTTTCTTAATTTATATACATCTGAGTATACACACACAAAATTTCAAGTCGAAGCGACGAATATTTTCGAAGTTATAGATACATTAGTGAAAAAAATTAACTACATGTAAAGTGCTTTCAAAACTTTAAACTCGTTTTTCTCGAAACGATGTTTTCAAAGTCGGTGAGCAAGATTTCTCAGAAACGGCTGAACAGATCGGACACAACCTTCTTAACTATATTTTTTAGTAATTAATCGAAGGATTTCCCCGTCCGATGAAAATTTCTTATTTTTATAAACTTTTGCTTTGAGTAGCCGCCATTTTGTCAGAAAATTTTTGTTTGCTAGTTCCTTCCATCAATCACTAGATTATTTATTATATTAAAGAAATTTATTTGGTTTTTGCATTTAAGGTGATCCAGTCCAGAGATATTGTGCTCACCGCAAGAGGCCTTTTGCTTAGAAAAAATTCTTGAAAAATGCCTTTTTTTCGACCTCTAACTGTATATAACCCCTAAAATCAAGTCAACACGACCGGTAACTGACCTATAGTATACCACATGTAATGATTTTCGTTTTTCTAACAAACTTAATACCGAATATCTTGGTTAGCCCTTCCTTACTTGTTTAATATAAAGTTTGTCACAAGAAGGTATTTCCCTAGCTTTGGCTCTTGCAAGTTTGTTCGGATACACCCGAGCTTAGCCCTTCCTTACTTGTTTACATTATTTTTGACTGTAGCTCAGAGTATTGATCCTAGACATACTTAACCCTTTCATGTCAATTGCTGCTTATAGACAACATTTCATATTTCTGTCGATAACTCCTCGAAATATCAATATTTTTAAAATCCGTTTTTTTTGCGTCTCTAACGGACTAGTTTGCGAAGTTTTATGACCATAGCTTAACAGGTGTTCATTTGATAACTCGCTAAAGTTGCGTAAAAACTTGTGAAAAAGAAAGTGACAAAAATAAGATTTCAAAAAGTTAAATGAAAAGTAAACTGACTGCCATTTCTTTATACAAAATGGTTTATTTTATAAATAACAAGTAAGAAAATGAAATAAAATTTTGCTTATAAGCAACATTTGTCCAAAGTTACAATTTTTTTTCTTTTAGATATGCGTCCCAGAGATCTTAGAGAATCAGAAATAAATAAAATTATCAATTTTGACTCGAATAATTCTGAAGATGAGAATGAAGAAGAAGAAGAGGAAGAGAATTTGGAGAGAATCATTGAAGAAACAATTGAAGAGGTGAGAAAAAAGGGAGAACACGTGGAAATGAATTTGATAAATGAAATCATTGAAGGCGGTGGAAATGCTGTTGAAGTTGAAAAAGAAGTGCTCACAGAAAAAATTGTCAGTGAAACATAAGAGAAAATTAACCTGGATAGTTTGAGATGAAGGTCAGCATGCCTACCAGATTGCGAAACTGTTTGGAAAGATGAAACAATTTGTCAAGAAGTCAAAGACCCTATAAACTACTTCAACGGTTTCTTCGATGATGAAATCATAACGAAGATTTGTAGCGTAACAAATCTTTATTCTATGCAAAGGAATGGCGTAGAGCTTCATTGTGCACCTTTCGAAATCAGACGATTTATTGGCATACTTCTTTATTTGGGCGTGATACTAGTTCCAAATATGCGAATGGCTTGGACGCCAAACTTCAAATTATCAGCTGTTGCGCATTCTGTATCCAGAACACGCATTGAGAAAATCAAAGGAGCCTTTCACCTAAATGATAGCACAAAACAGCCGCAACCAGAATCACCCGATTACGACAAGCTATATAAAATACGTCCTTTATTGGCCAAACTGAAGGAGAAATGCAACAAATTACAGCAGGAAAAACATCAGAGAATAGATGAACAGATGTTAAAATTTAAGGGACGTCACAGTCTAAAGCAATACTTACCCATGAAACCCAATAAATGGGGTTTTAAAATGTTTACAAGAGCTGGAGTTTCAGGCATCGTATACGATTTTGCTCTCTATGTTGGAGACGGAACATGTCCATCTTTTGGATTGAGTATTCCGTCAGATATTGTGTTGCATTTGGCTAGTAATGTGCCTAGAGATAAAAATTATAAGTTATTTTTCGATAATTGGTTTTCTTCCATAAGACTGATGATTGCACTCATAGAACGAGGTATTTTAGCAGCAGCAACAATACGAGGCAATCGGATTAAAAACTGTAGCCTTATGAATGAAAATGACCTCATGAAAAAAGGTCGGGGATCATACGACTTCAAGTATGAAGCTGTACATAATATAGCTGAATGTCGCTGTTACGATAACAAAGGTGTGCAACTTTTGTCAAATTATATAGCTGAAAATCCGGTTTCACAATGCAGACGCTGGTGTCGTAAACAAAAAAAGTACATAGATGTACCTAGACCGGCTGTTGTTGACTATTATAACAAGCACATGGGAGGTGTAGACTTGGCTGACATGTTGTTAAACTTATATAAAATCAACCACCGTTCTGAGAAATGGTATATGCGCATAGTTTACTGGTGCATCAGCACAGTGGTAGTCAATAGCTGGTTGCTGTATAGACGAGACCTAAAAAATCAAGTCACACGAACGAAATATATGACATTGCTGGATTTTCAATTATCCATAGCAAACGAGCTTCTTCACGCGTCTAATATTACGTCAATAAACCCACGTAAAAGAGGTCGTCCAGGTTCATCTTCACCAGCGTCGCCGGTCCGATCTAACGTGTAAGAAATTTCAATGAGCTCTTCGCCGTCAAAGCGATCATACATAAGTGAACCTCCGAAGTCGATGCGTCTTGATCAAACTGGTCATTGGGTTGAATGGGGAGGAAAAGGAAATGCTCAAAATGTAAGGTGCACTTATGCTGTGACCCACAGAAAAACAGTTTTGTCTCATATCACACAACAAATGTATGAAAAGTAATAAAAAAAAATGAAACTATCAATATTTGTATATGTTTGATTGTATACTACCATGGCTCAATGTTGCTTATAAGCAACATCTTATAACTCAAAAACCAGAAGAGATACAGGTTTGAAATTGATATTTCATATTCAAGGCTCAAATAGTATCCCCATATACTCAAAATATTTTTAAATAGGCCCAGTTTAATTATGACATGAAAGGGTTAAGAGAATTGTTTAATTGTATTTTTTTTTTCTTCAGGCACCATAGAGAATTCTCAAAATTTAATTGTGAGACATACCTTAACGTAATCGATTGGACCAAAATGTTTAAGTGTTATCTAAACTCCCTACTATATAAGTACATATACAAATATATTAATTTACGTTTTATAAATACATATTTGTGTGGTGATGCTGTTGTAAACTAAGGAATAGCGGAGTGTAATAATTTATTTAATTAGCAAGTGTATGCTAACCAAAAAAGTCGTCCGTTCCATACCTTTAATATATAGTATTTTAATTATTGTCTTCAAAGCAGCGTGTGAGTTGCTTTTCAAAGCAACACTAAGCGGTGCAATACATAACTTATTATGTGCTATCAATATTTGCATAAATAAAGTACAAAAAATAATAAAAAATCAAAAACAGAAAGAAACACATCCACAAGGTTTTATTGCACTACAAATCTTTATTTATAACAGACAAAAAAGTTTATTTTATAAATAAATACAAAGA